ACATTATTGATGACCTAGGACTGGGGATTTGGGGTGAAATGAGGAATAACTGCTAATGGGTATAGGGTTCTTTCTGGAGTGATAAAAATATTCTAAAATTGGTTGTCGTAATGATCGCACAATTTTGTACATATACTAAAAACCACTGAGTTGTACACTTTAAATGGGTGAATTGTATGTTATGTAAATTACATCTCAATAAAGCTGTTACATAAAAAACAACTTAGAGCCTGGCCTGTGTGGCTCAGTGGACTGAAGGTCACCCAGGTTGCAGGCTCGATCTCCAGTAGGGGGCGTGCAGGAGGCAGCCGATAGATGTTTCTCTAACACTGATGTTTCTATCTCTCTCCCTTCTTATCTCACTAAAATAAATAAAAACATTTAAAAAATAAATAAAAAACAACTTAGAAAAGTTCCTGTTAGGTTCTGCTTAACAGAGGCATCCTCTGTGAGACCTCCCCAGGGCTTCGGAAGGTAGGTGTCAACAGGAACTAGTCATGTCACCTCTCCAGTAACTCCACAAAGACCAATGGGCCAACCTGCTATCTCCAGAGACAACTTAACAGAACTGTCAGCCAGAATCCACAGCCAAACCAGCAAGAGCCCAGGTGTATGTGTGCACCTATGTGTGTGTAGGCAAGGCAGACTTTTCCAGAAGGTCAAGGTCATGTCTGTGCTATCATTTGGAAGGGGTGCATGTACATTTGTTTCTGGTTTGTATCTAATTTGAAAAAGCCGACACAGATCAGGTGTTCTACTATCAGGCATCCTTCCAGTCCAGAGTCTTGGTGTTGCCCCAGTCAATTTGTTCAGGGGGTGGACTCACTGCTTGAGTAGTGCGGAACCACCCACCCTCGGTTCCTGCCCGAGGCGGGGCAGGCTTCGGTCATGCCAGCTGTCCTATTCTGCATCCCATGAGGCCCCCTAGCCAGGTCACCACTGGGGAAGATCTCCTACCTGAGGGGAAAGCTTCCTTCTCACTAGCGGGCCTCCTGCACGGTGGAGGGGTGCAGGGGGGACAGAGAGAGGAGGAGGCCCACTCTGGCTGGTCCCCTTCCAAGCAAGGCCCAGATGGAGGGGCCTCCCAGATGGAATAAAAGGAAGTATGAGAGAAGAGAACACACATTCCTCTTTTTCTCAACAAAGACTCAAGAGGTACAGAGGGAAAGTTTAATTATGCTGCAATGTTGCTCCACTGGAGATGAACCCTCCCTTCAAAGAATTACCCATCTCACTCCATCATGGTACCTCGGGTCTATCAGTATTCAAATTTATTAAGCAATGACATAAAGAATGCATTGTATAAAGGGCCTGTTTCATCACCCCATTCCCCAAGCTTTTTCTTTTCTTTTTTCTTTGCTAAGTCATGAGAAGTCCAATAAGTTAAAAATCAAAACAAAAACTAACAAGTGTGTACACACACACACACACACACACACTCACTCAAAGATGGAAAAAAATCCTTCGTGGAAGTTACTATGAAGCGGGCGGCTCCAGAAAGGAAAAACACAATCTCTGACTAATATAAGGAGACTCCAAATTGCTCTTGGCAATCTCTCTCAACCCCAGATTCTCCTCCCTCGATTCATCTCCGCAGTTCCCGGCCACAGGAAAATAAACTGAACAGCTCTCTCCCTGGCCCAACCTGGAGGGCTGCACAACTGGGCAAGGCCTGGGCACACAAATGCCGCCACGCAGAGATACACCTGTGCCACTGCTGTGAACACGACACGGGACAGCCGGGCGGCCGCTCACCGCTACCAAGCTGATAATCTCGATATCGGGAGAAAAGTGCCCTTTCTCTGGCACCACGACATCAACATGAAATACAATATGTTCTTGTGGCTTTTTTTTTTTTTAAGGAAGAAGAAGGAAAACTGCTCTCCCCAAAGGAGTTGGTGTCAATTCTGAAGGAAAGCCCTAGAGCATCACTCAGATGGGTTTAGCTTCAAGGCAAGATTTATCAGTGCACCTTCCTCACCAAAGTGATAGTTAATTTAGGTGTAGTTATCTTACACCTATTACACCACTCAAGTTGGAAGGAGAGTTAACAGGCCAAATGTCCCAGAATATTTATGGCTGTTCTGTCTTAGAGATCCCTCGGACACCACTTTATTAGGACAGGTATGTCAGATCAGCTGAAACGGAGATGGATAGGAGCCCTATAAGTAGACACATAAGCGAATGTAGCATAGTCCTTTCAGGGGACCCCAAAAATGTGCTGGCAGGCCGCTGTGAGCTGCTCTGAGGACCGTGGACCGCCAAGAGACCTGGGTTCCAGAACTGGCTTTGCTACCAAGTCATGTGGACATGGACAAGCTTCTCCTATGCTAGGATAAGGAGCTCAGAGCTTCAGCTCCAGGCCTGTAAGTGTGGCAAGTCATCATGGCCACTGAGGAACGTGGCTGATGCATTAGGAGGGTGATCCTCGGGGGGAGTCTCAGCCCGGCTGGCACTGCTCCAGACAGGAGACTGTCCTTTGGGAGGCTGCACAGGGGCTCTTGTCATTTCTAGCTGGGATGCGCCCAAACTAAAGGCCCATCTTGGAACCCACAATCATAAGCCGATAATCCGAACAGCAGGGGCTCAATCAGCATCATGGACACCATGTGTACTTCACAGTGTCCCCTGGAACCAGGGATGAGTCCTCCTGACTATAACATGGGGACAGCTCATCATTCCTACTGCCTGTCCCTCCTCTTCACCTAGCCCTCCTGCTGTTTTTCCTTCCCCATGGAAATGCTTTTGTAACACCTTTCCACATACTATCTCATCTCATTCACTCAATCAATACCCTCTGAGGGATGTACAATTACTATTAGTATTCCCATTCACAGGGGCCAGGGATCAATCAGGTATACCCATGTATGCCCAGCATTTAGCATAGTGCCTGGAACCACCCACTAGACAATGCAATCATTGTCAAATAAATGACTGATTGATTGATTGAATGGAAAGAAACCGAGATTCAAAAAAGTTAATATTCTGTGTAATACTATTTTACATACTATTTTGTGTTGTGCTATAATTAATTATACCAGAGTGATTCTTGTCTCCCCAACTAAAGTGTAAGATTCTATAAGACGTGTGGTATAATGGGTAGCTTTGATTTCCCACTCTGTCACTTACTAGCTTGAGTTTCCTCATCTGCAAAGTGGGTCTAATGATTCCTACCTTACAGGCTATGTGGGTTAGAAGGGATAATGTATGCCAAGTCCAGTGTCTGGCACGGGGCAGGTGGCCCCTGAATGTCCCACCCCTTTTCTCCTGCCTTTCTTCTCTCTGGTTTATTTCTCAGCACTGACATAGCAGGTGAAGCCTTGAGTTCTGTGACTCAAGCTGGTGGCCTCAGGGCCTGTGTGACACTGGTGTCCCATGGTTCTGTGTAAGGAGCACTGAATTTACCTGGCCCCTTGGACCTCAGTCCCTCATCTATAAACTGAGGATGATGAGACATTGGTCCTTGCATGGTCCTTAGAGTGGTGGTTTGGGGAGCTTAGGAAACAGTACCAAACACCATACCCTGAGAAATGGAGCAGAGGCTGGCTGACTGCTCAGCAGGATTTGGGGGAGAGGTTTCTTTACCTTTCAGCCCAGGTTGGGCCTTACGGGGAGAGGGTGGCTCCCAGGTTACTTTCCTTTCCTGGAGATCTAGCCAAAGGAGGTTCCTGAACCTTTTAAATCCCCCAGGACTTAACTGAGTGGAGGAGTGGAGCTGAAACTTGAACCTGGCAGGGCCTTTGCCGCCCCAACCCCCTACCCCAACCTTCTTTCGAATCTGGAAAAAACTGCCCGATTGTTTCAACCACCTCTTTTGCATTTTCAAACTTTTACATTTAGAGGGATTGGAAGGGGTATGCCACTGGTCAGTCCGCCAGTGAATCTCGGGAACGGGGCTGCCTCCTGTGTGCAGAGCCCAGTACCGGGGGTTAAAAGAAAGAGGGCAGCAGTCCCCTGACCACCGGGCCTACAGCGCACAACCCGGACCACCGAAGCCAGAGACTGGGACACCGGAACCACCGGGACCCCCCACAGCCCTCACTAAGCACGAAGACCACTGCCGGGCACTAGATGCCCTGCGCTGGGGTGCCAGGGGTTTCGGGCTCTTTGAGTCCTTCCCAGGCCAGCCGCTGCGCCCAGCTGCAGGGAGTCAGCGGCTCCGGATCCCGACGCGGGTATGGAGGTGCGCGGAGCCCGTCCCTGCCCCCTCCCCCAACTTCTACCCTCTGGCTGCCCCGGGAGCCGGGATACCCTTGGTTGACTGGATTGCCGGAAGGGAGTTGTTACCTCCCACCCACAACCTGGTTCGAGCGAAGGGACGTGTCCCCCACTCGCCCAGTTCAGCCGGCGATTCAAGCCCGGGTCCGCCACGGACTCCCTCTGGCTCGCGGAGACGTCTGCCAACCCTCGTTCATTCCTGCCCCTGCCCAGACCTCGACTTGTGCCAGGAGTAGCTATGACTTCGCCCCCAACTCCAAGTTTTGCGCTGACACTGGGGAGGGCCAGGCTGGGGGGGGGGGGTCGGTAAACTCACAATATGTATCCACCATTACCTTCCGGAGTGCCCTCGCACTCCCCTGCCCCCCAAAGCCTGCCCAAGAGGGCCACGGGCAACGGGCGAGCAAAGAGAGTTGCTTCGTGCCGAGTTCCAGAGTCTTTCTCGCATTTCGCTGGGAGGTGCGCGGCTCACGCCTCTCCATCAGCTCTGGGGCTCCAGCCCCGGGTCCCCAGCACGCTCGGCTCCAGCTCTGGCGCGGGTTTGAACATTTTGCAGACGCCGCCCAGCGAGCGCCTGCGGCTGCCGCCACCCGGGCCACAGGGTCCCCGCAGCGGGGAGCGGGAATGCCCGCAGGCCGGCGGGAGGGGCGCCGCAGCCGGAGCTCGCGAGTTCTCCAGGACTCCCGCACGGGTTCCTCCCCACCCCCTCCCCACAGCCTGGCCACCTGGTTCCCCGCAGCCCGGATCACACCCGCTCCCAGCCGAGGCCGCCCGAGACCCACCTGGCCGCCCCGGGGACGCCGCGGTCGTGCCCGTGTCCTGAGCGCCGCCAGGGTCCCGGGCTGGGAATCCACGCGGCAGCGCAGCTCAGGGAGCCTGCTGCAGCCGGCGGGAGGTTGTCATTGATTCGCGCTGGGCGAGTTTAGCCATTCCAGGAGTGGTTTGAGAAAGCACTCCCACCCCTCCCTCCAACCAGAAGTATTTGGCAGGCAGCCCCTTTCGTCCACCTGTACTGTGGAGCTCGGGATAAGGACCGATTTCACAGGCGCGCTTTGTGCCTCACTTTATGACACCCAGATTAAGCTCCTTGGTAAGGGTAAAGACGACATGAAAGCAGAGGTGATGGAAGACCTCCCCCCGCCCCCGACCCCCCTACCACCACCACACACCCAAACCGCCCCTTTTCTTCTGGGTTCTCCGTTTATTTTCTTCTCCACTATTTCACAAAATGATTTACCACTTATCTCAAATCAGGGGCGGCTTTTTATTTTTATTGTTTTATTCAATTCTGCGTGTCTGTTATTTTTAGAGGCAATTTTATTTCCATTTGCCTGAAACCTGAGCCCAATAAAATTACTAGAATTATGTTTCTCCTTAAAGAGTCGTGAGTGTAACGTAACCAAATCAAACACTGCACAGAAAGCATCAGGTGGCAAATAAAAAAGAGAAGGCTGGAGGGAAGACCAGAAGGGCAGCCCCCTCCAGCAGGGTGCCCAGCTGGGCTCGGCCAGGTGGAGTGTGAGGCCTGAGGTGGGGGCCCCTCTGACACTCCTCTGCCAACAATCACAAACCGTACGGGCTCTCCTTTGCGTTGCCTTGGTTCTAAGACTGACTCAGAACCGCCAACCAGAGATCCAACAGTTCACATTTGAGGTGGGCCAACTGCCAATCACAGAGAGGCGTGGCCAGAGCACCCTCTCCCAAGCTGTTCCTTGAAACCCCCACACCCTTTTTGAAAACTGCCAGAGGGGACGCTCCAGCTGCTGTCAGTTCTCTTTCCCGGGAGCTGACCTTCACCTGGGAGAAATCACCATTAACTCCTTGGTACTTAGGCTGGCTGTTCTCAGAAGTGGGGGAGGAGCCAGGGGAAGTTCTTCCCTGTGACCAGCTGCCCTGTGTGCCACAGAGAATCAGCGCAAATCAAATGAGAGGCCTGGCCTTCTGTGGCCTCTGCCGTTCTTACAGGGACAGGCCGCAAGTCTGAAAGCACCCCAAATCCAACAGTAAATCCCAGAGGTCCATGGAGGACAAGGACTGGGCTCTGATTTGCAGAACCCCAGGACAATGGTTCAGACGAAAGTATCTCCTTCAACAGGTGCCCCCCTGCCTGAAATCCCAGTGTTAGTGATTCATTCCTTTGTGGGGCACGCCCTGCACAGAGCCTGTGCCAGGCAAGCAAAATTGTTTCGGTAAGGCAGGAAGGGTCTCTCTCTGCGATTCTAAAACTGTGCATTCCCATAGCGGGGGGGGGGGGGGTCTTCACAAGGGGCCAGACCCTCCTTGCTATGGTGGGAGGACCACAAATGGCTTCGTGAGGGGACAGAGAGGTTTGCAGTCAGGGAGGGTGGGAAGGGGTGGTAAATCAGGGAATTAGGCACTGAAAGTCAGAAGGGGAGGTGCTTAATCAGAACAGGTGGACAGTTTCCAAAATTGGATGACTCCATAGCTTTTTATCAAAACCCATGTACTCCCGGAACACCCAAGACAAAGAATGAAAAGTCAAATCCCTTTGTTCACAAAGTCACTAATTAAATATCCAATCAAGCATAACTCCACACTCCACTCCCAGACCAGGTAGATAAATGTGCCAACACATGACCTGGATGGAATTAGTATCAACCCAGAAAAGACTGTTGTACACCATAGGGTTTGCCCCAATGGCCTGGGTGGAGGTGGGTGGGGCGGGTACAGTGGGGTGCCGCCCTCGGAGCCTCCTGTCTTGTGGAAAGATAAAGCACAGCTGGCTGGTCAGTGTGGGGCAGGGTACACACTGCACTGTGTGAGGTCCATTAAGGGCAGGGCACTCATTCTGCAGAGCAGATAAGGAGCCCAGAACAGTCACGAAGACAGGGCTCATCTGGAGAGGGTTCCAGGAGATGGGCTAGGCAAGGAGGGCATGTCAGGTGGGGGAGGAAAGGCTGGGAGAGGGGGCAGCTGGCATGGTTTAGAGGGTTGTCCCAGTGGATAAAGTATCAAGCTGGGATCTACAGGGTGAAACCAGTTTATGGATACAGCTTCCAGCTGAAGGAGAGAGTGCAGGGTAAGGCCTGCTTAAGAGGGAGGGAGGGAGGATTGGAGCACCTCTTTCAAACCCAGTTGGAGCTGGATGTGGGCAGAGGGGCTGGTGGAGGAGGGAGGCTGCAGGGAGGGGTGGAGGAGAGTTGCAGTGCCCAGCCCAGCCTGCCCCCAGGTGGCCCCTCCTAGTGGGGCTCCAGCCCCTGGACCTGAAGGAGTTTCTGAGTAGGCCAGTGGGTGGTGCCAAGGCCAATGATAGTGTGGCCAAGAGCCTGGGGAGAGCTGGCCACTGTCCAGCCCACTGGCTGGGTCCCACAGTGGACAGTGAATGTCATTCCTCCCTCCTCCTTAATCACTGTGTGTGTGCCCTGTTGGCACACACCCTTCAGAATGGCTCTGGGCAAAAAGTGGGGAGCCCTGCCCCACCACCCCTCCAGCCTCACCTCCCTGTTCTCAGCCCAGTGCCAGCTGCCTCCTGGGAACAGGACCATAAAGGAGTCATAAAGAAGAGGCTCTCAAAGCCACCCACAGAAGGGGCTCTGCGCAGGCCAGGCTCTAGATCTGTTATTGTGCATTTCCTTTTGGGATGTGGTCCCTTCCTAGGCCCTCTTTGGCCTACTCCCTCTTACTCACCCTCCTCTGCTCCCCCTCCCTCCCGCCCTGCCCCGCCCCCTTCAGAGCACTGGGAAACAGGCTGGCTTACACGCACCTGGCTTTTCACATCTGCCTCCAAACCCACAACTCACTCTTGTTCCAGAGAGGATGAAAGCTCCCACTGCAGCCGCACAGCCTAGCTCAGAAGCCAAACAGAAGCACAGTGAGCAAATCTGCTGCGGTCTTCACCTGAACCTTGGTGGCCTCTGGACATCAGTGTGACACAGGCACACAGATGGCTTCTGTAGGAGCACATCCATATCCCAGAATGTCAAAGCGCCTGTATCAAGAGGTGGGTGCAGGGATGATCCGTGCAATCTACAAATGTAATAACCAATATCTACTGAGGATCGACCCCTCACTTCATCTTGCAGCCACCCCATGAGGTAGAGTTTCTTATTTCCCCTTTTTGCTGATGAGGAAACAGACACAAAGAGGTCTTGTCATTTGTTCAAGGTCACATGGCTTGATAAATCATAAAGTGGATATGACACTTGCATCTTTAGGACTCCGGTACCCAAAGGCTGTGCCCGGGGTTACAGCTCTGGCTCTTTGTTTAGTTTCTACAATTGGTTCTCTTTTTTTTTTTCTTTATTGATTTGAGAAAGGAAGAGAGAGATACAAACATCGATGAGAGAGAACAATTGGTCTCCTTCTGCATGCCCCCCACTGGGGATCGGGCCCACAACCTGGGCAAGTGCCCTGATCGGGAATCGAACCGGCGACCTCTTGGTGCATGGGTCCATGCTCAACCACTGAGCCACATTGGCCAGGTTACAACTGGTTCTCTAAGAAGCAGTTTACTTTGCTGATATATGCCTCAGTTTTTCCACCTGCTAAATAGGCAGAGTAATGACCTTTCCTGAACTGAGAGGCTATTATTAGCCAGGAGGAGGCTGGGAGGGAGGTTGGACTTGGGTAAAGTACTTCAGCAAGTCCTCCCTAGAGAATGTCCACAGGACTGGGCTTGAGTGTTACTCCCGCAGGAAACTCAGAGTCACCTTGCTGCCTCCTGTTCTTCCCACCCCACAACCCGCTGCAGCCAATCCATCCATTCTGTAAGATTATGTCCAAAATAGATCTCCCGTCCTCCCTCTTCCTGCCACCTCCTCCACCACTGCCCAAGGCTGAGCCACACCCCCTTCACCTCCCGGTCTGTAGGAACCTCCTAACTGGTCTCCCATTTCTGTCCTGCTCTTTCAGCCCAGAGCCACACAACTGCCTGAGTAATCGTCTTAAAAATGTGCATTTGGTTGTGTCACAGGGCACTTAAAATGTCCTGCCTAAACTGTCCTGCCTCTGTCTGCACACTCACCCCGCTTCCCACCCCCCACCTCGGCACTGGCAGACCTTCCCAAGTTCCGTTTCCTTCCTGTTGTGGGACTTTCCATGTGGGAATTCATTGATCTGACATGCTCCCCCTCCACCCCCAGTCAAGTCCCGCAGAAATGTTACTTCCTCAGAGAGCCCCCCCCCCATTATCTATTTCAGAGGCACATTCAACTTGCATACCTTTATTTAGCTATGTGCTTACACTGAATTATTTTTTACATCCTTCCCACTAGAATGGAGGCTGCTTGTGGGCAGGGACCGAGTATGTCTTTTTCACTGTGTGCACCTGGATACAGTAGGCCCCTGGCAAGTATATGTGGGATGAAGGCTTGCTGAGAGAACTCCAGATCTAGGAGACAGGAAGAATCGATCTAGTCCTGGTGCTAACATGGATGGGCTGTGTGTCCTTGGGGATGTCCCATACCCTCCCAGATCCTCAGCTCTAGCCTCTGTAGATAGGGACAATGGGTGAGATGACCCAGAGCCCTGCACATCTGAAGCTGGCCTTTATTCCCCAAGAATTTGCAGCTAAACCAACGAAGAGAATCCTGGCCCTGATGCACTTGAGGTGGCTTTAGAAGGTTTTGCTTCTGTGGTTGGCCCTGCTGACTTGTTAGAAAGCCCAGCTTGTGAGAACTGAGGCCTCTGGGCGGTCACCAGCCCCCCAGCACCTGCTGCTTCACCAGCACAGGGACTGAGGCTTGTCCACAGAAAGCAGCTCCTACCGTGGACAGAATCAGCACAGGACCAAGCTGGGGCTGATTTCATTTGGATATTTCCACCCCAACAGCCAGTTCCCTCAGCCTACCAGGTCTGGGGGCCTGACCTTCGATGAGGTCAACTTCTATTCGCCCAGTGTCTCAGTGGCATTCTACACCTCTTGTCCTGGTTGACCTGCATGACCACCCAAACTAGGAAGAAGAAGGGATTTTCTTCCCCACTGTGCAGATGAAGAAACTAAGACCCAGATTAAAAAGTGAGTGAGTGGCAGAATGGAGACCTTTGAAATTAAGGATAAAAAACTCTAGTGATCTTAATTCTTAAAAAAAAAAAAATATATATATATATGGATATATAATTATAAGAGAATATTAATATATATAAAATGTATTTTAAAAATATGTATATG